GAGAGAGAGAGAGGGGTCTTGGGCTTGTGGGCCAACATCACACAAGGTGGGTCCTCCCATGTGTGTCATGTGGGTCCACAGTTTTCCTATAACCCTAAACAATTTTTTAAATGAAAAAACCATTTTTGTTAGAAAATAAATTGAATTTTGATTCTGGAAAATATTATTTTCAATTAAAAATTCCCATGGAATAAATAAAATACATAACAAGATTTTACGAAAATTGTTCTAGTGCTCCATAATTTTTCTAAACATAAACAGAGGATTGGATCTAATGGGTAAAGAACATGCAAATCACTAAGGCACTCTACTTATGATAAAAGTCTATGATCCTTGGACTGTTATTTCACACCAACCCAATGGGATTCATGACCCATAGTAAATCACAAGGGTTTATGATGGGCCCATCAAGGTTACCCAATAATCAGTATGGACATGAATCTAGTGTGTGGATTATAGGTTCTCCCTAAGGACAGTTCATACTATGCTCATAAGGATGAATGCACAATATCGCAATATTACAAGGGGTACTTTCTTCATCTCATGCACATGCACCCTCTTTGGTGGCTTCCCATAATACGGCTATCATATGGACATGCCATGTGGTGGTTGTTGAAGATTTGGCTTTTGCCTCACAAGCCTCCAACTGCACGTAGGAGACCTTTCGTCCTCTTGGTTTACAAAGTATCATCCTTGGGCGTCTCGCCGTCCTCAACAAGGGATGACCCTACAATAGAAGCCTCTCCGAATATGCCATATGCCTATGGGTAAGGGTTTTGGACTCGTTGTTGGAAACACCTGTGATTGCGATTAGCTTTAGGAATCGGAATTGCTTAATCGTTTGTGCTAGATGATTTCTTATCTTGGAATCGCCGTTCGTACAATGAAATCATTGGAGGCATGATTCCTAATAATTGGAATCACGATCCAATAAAATAGGAACTGTGATTCCTATTTGTAGGAATCAATTTACCATCATGTTGTAATCGAGCTTCCAACCTTGCAGGGATTGCACATGACCCCATACTGTTCAATGGCTCTTGGAATTGTGACCTGATGAGATAGGAATTTTGATTCCTGCATTACTGGAATTATTGTCCCCATCGATTTAAATTTGAAGTTCCCACAATTCAGGAATCATGTACCAAGCCCTTCTGCTATATAAGAGAAGTATCTTGCAAGAAAAGATTTAAATTTTTATATTTTTTATAAGCTTGAAATCTGGAGTCCATATTTCTAGTACATTTCCCAAGGGGAAGCATATTATGCGGATCGAGATCTTTCTCAACACTCCCATACATTTGGGCTGCCACCAAAACGTCTTACCTTAAGGTGGGGCTGCCACCCACTACGTGATTTATAGATTGATAAATCTGTCGGGTAACTTGGCAGAGATTATTGTACATGGATTCATCTCAAAAGTTTATTAAGGCTTTTTGTCTCTCACAACATCATAGTCCTGAAACCCAAATATAATACTACGAAAGGGTTGCTGGAACTCCTCAGGCAACATACAATTTGTGAACATATTTCATTCCACATTTGCGTTTGAATATTGATTCCAAGCCATTAGAACTTAATTCGATTTTTATCAAAACGTTGTTCAGTGCATCTGCAAACCGTGCCTTTTGACGATATGGATCTAGCTTCCAAACAATAGGGATTCACAATTCCGAAAAAATTGGAATCAATGTCTCGCACAAGTTGAATCACATTGTTGTGCAACTATGAATCGTAAATTCTGCAATATGGAATCTTGATTCCAAGCTTCCAGGAATTGAGATTCAAATAATAATCTGGAATGCGTTTCGTGAAACTTGGAAACATGATTCCTATCTTCTGGAATCGTGTCTCATCCCGGGAACAACTGAACCGTGATTCTAAACCGGAATTGCGACCTCGGTACACAATTTGGTAACTAAGGTCCTAGGTCTAGACCGCTCAAACCTGGGTTAGTCAACGAGCATTACATCACATGCCTCTTTGGTCCTACATGGACCACAATTCCACTGGAGTACATATTCACTATGATCATGAGTTTTTACATGCTCTGAAGGCCTTTGAGGGCCACAAACTCCAACATAAAGGTCCGTAGTAATTGGTATTTTTTAAGGCCATCTCCACCAATTTGCACTGGCAGAGCCAATCAGTGTTTCACTTTTCCCTCTCGCCTCAAAGTCTTTTCACCACTGCCTTTGGAATCTATCCCTGTGGCTAGTAATTCAATGAAATAAACCAAACTCGAACTAAAGAAATTCTACATGATTGTAAATCATGTGGGATCCTTTTGATGTTCTAAATCTAATCCACCAGAGGTAACACACCATGAACCCATTGTCGCTTTTCATAAGAGTTTGAGATTTTGCACGTGCAGACTGCAGTTGCTGTTGGTGTTGAGCTCCAAGACAAGTTGCCAATCAATGAATACTATGAGTACTTTGGCCCTGATTATACACTTCATGTTGGCCCCAGTAACATGGAAAATCAGAACTCTGCAAAGGAGCTAGCAAAGATAAGGTAAATTTTGTAATTTGTATGCCTTATATAAACACACATGTATTGTAGTCAGATACTATTGTTGAACATGACATCATTTAGCAAACCTATTGCTTCACTCTTTTTATCGATTGTTTCTTCAACATGCTAATGTATGGTCTCTATTGTTAGCTGCCATCTTACTACTTCGTAGAACTCTCCAGAAGTGCTTCATTTCTGCCAATACTCTCTTATAAACCATGGTACCTATTGTATCTTGTGATCCCTTTTAATTTTCTTAATCATGTTATGTTTTGTAAGATTTGTTCAAAACCTGTTTTCATTAACTAAAACTATTGTGTGGAATATAAGCACATATAAACAGAACTCATGCAAGCACAAATAAGAAAAAGAAAAATATAAAAAGAGACCATTTGCTTTTGGTATAAGGAGTTCATAAGCGCTCTTGTCTGTTGGGTTTCAAATTTGGTGGTTGTGAGTGCATCATTGACTAGGTTCAACGTTCAAAAAAATAAAAATAAAATCTCGAATTTAGTGACACATCCCAAGCTGTTCAATTTGAATCGGATGGCTAGGGTTGGATATTTGTGACCTCCTTGTAGAAAGGTAAATGGTCTCATAGTATACAATCCCATAAAAAAATGTGATTCATGCTATTATATCATTGGTAAGGACTATTGATTAGCTCTTATTCATTGTTTTTCCTTTCTGATGCTGAAGAAATACCTTGCTGGAGCAATTAAAAAGAATACAGCATGTACCAAGTGTGCCATTTCAGGAAAGACCTCCTGATACTAAATTTGCTGAAGAGGTAGATCCCTGGATGTTGCTCACGAGATGTTACTGACGGAAATGGGATTTGTCTTTAAGAATCTTAATTTCTTTATTACTTTTAGGCTACTCTTTCACAATTTAACTTCCGGCTTGATTGTTCAATCTTTAGGAGGAGGAAGATTTGGAAAAGAGAACAAAATCAAACAAGTGGGATGCAGAAAGTCACAGTTCTGAATCTGAAGACCAGAAACCTCAGATTCATTATACAGATGCATCAGAGAAAGGTGTAGTTAGGTTAGTCTTGTGCTCAATTACCGGATAATTATTATTCGTTTGCAGAAACTGTATCTTGTAATTCAAGGTTCACTTATTTAAGATTGCTTGTTGGATCTTTTTCTTCTTTTTGTTTAACTTCCAATGAAGTTGCCCCCTTACATTGCAAGCTGTTATTTGCACAGGAGACTGGTTTGCTCCCCAACCAAACAAATTAAGTCAGGGGAAGAAAATGGAATTGGAGTAATGGTATGCAAATACTATCACTCTCTCTTTGCTGAAAACTTGTTTCTTGTTCAAGAAACTGTTGTATTTATTAACTGTTCAATGCACTTGTGGTGGTATTGTTGCCGTTCTTGGGTGGTATAAGTTATAATTGGCTGTTGTTCCAGATTCCTGACCACGTCCCTTTGCACAAAATCCACAATCAATTATATTCTGAAAATCATTCCTGGACTGAGTTGAAAACTGGGCCAGAAGAATTCTTGAGAGTAACTTCATGGTCCAAATCCGTTGTTTCTTCGCAAAACTCTTTAGCCCAAAACCTTACACTTTGTGGGCACCTGAAATAGGTTTCCATCGTATTTATATTTTGGAGAACAGAATTTAGGTTAAATTCCCCAAGTGTTGCCAAGTATTTTCATTTGAAAAGAAAAAAATGCTTTGCTGTAAAATTTTTCCATCCTAAACCCTTTTTTCTAGTTGATTGTTTTAGATGTTCAGAACAGAAGTAGCTTCCATGTTAGACTTAATTTGGTGAGAACTAGTGAATGAAAATTTGGCCGCCTGGCCGCCTAGGCGGCCCAGGAGGCTGATTGAATTGAATAGAGTCAGGTTGCGCCATACTCGGATGCCCGCCTAAGTGGTTTGCCCAGGTCGATTAGGCAGCTCGATGAAATGCCCTTGGCTGAGGGCGGAAAAAGGCTCTCAGCCAAGGGAAAAATTGGACATTTCCCCCCCAAAAAGAGGGAAAGGGTTTTGGGGGGTATTTTTTGCCCCCAAAACCCATTTGTGTTCATTTTTTGCTTGAGAAATACCCTAACAAACAAGTATTTGTGATTTCTTTGAAGATAAAAGTTTTTTTTTGAACTCTTTGATTTGTGCTAGTTATTGAGATGTCGATTGTTGCACAATGGATGAATTTTGGGCAAATTTCACTCATTCAATGTTATAGTCATTCAATTTCAAATTTCGAAGTCATGTATGAACTGTACAATAAGATACACTCACAAAAAAATATGAAACAGTGTTCTTTAAAAAAAAACCGATGTTCTATGCACTGGTGGGTCAGTAACCCCCCCCCTCCCTTCCCTCCCAAAAAAGGAAACAATATCATCCTCAAGGCTCTGGTGGCACCCCTTCGTCTATAGGCGGCTGAATCTGATTTTTGAACATTAGTGGGAACCAAAATATGTGATGTGGTAATCTTTCCAAAAACTTATTCATTGAAAAGAATCTTTCCAAAGCTTCTTTACATGTGACTCTCTTTGTGCTGTGATTCAAAACTAATCTAGACCACTTGTCTTAATGCCCCTCAAACTTCTGCAATGACTAAAGTATACTCTTGGCCAAACATGACAAAAGATTCAGCCCATGATGCTTCGTATAGTTAGGGTTGTGTTTAGTGCTTAAGAAAGCATGAGGCAGCACCTAGGTAGCCAGGGGCTTTGCCTGGCTGCCTAGGCAGCTCAATCTAGTAGACTATACATAAATATATATAGAGAAAAGATTTAGTAGAATAAATATGTAGATGAAAAAAGATATTGTGAGCCCAGGCTAATACTGTAAGAAATAGCCCTCGGCCAAAACACCCAGTTGGGGGAATGTTTGCAACCTAATGTTTTCCGAAGCATTCATCCTTCACAATGAAAGAACAGGATTTTTGAGCTCTAGGAACTCTTGATCTGATATAGAGTCATTCTTGGAATAGGAATTGATGTGGATCATTTTTACGCTCTAAATCCTTTTCCTTTGGTTGATCTTTGAGATGAAGACGATGACTTGAAAATTTTGGTGTCAAATAAATTTCCTCAATTAGGTGTTTTGGCACGACTGCCAGTTTCTACAACATTAGACTCGTGCACACATATAGATGTATATATTAATACATATGTATGTGTGTGTGTATCGAGAGAGAGAAAGAGAGAGAGCTGGGTTTGGGGGGGGGGGGATCTATTAGCTAGTGGGTAATTGCCTGGTACAGATTAGCAACACCATCCTTGGGTCCTTCTTCAGGCTCCTCATCATACTTTGGCCCTGCATCGTATTCTCTTCGTAATCCTCCTCTCCATCAGACAAATGTGTTATGATGACCTGCCTTTTAGGGGACTCGAAAGAGTAATGCCTAGGTTCGCCACACTTAAAGCACTTAGGCCCGTACTCCCAAGTTTGAAAAGACGTATTCGTAGTTGGGAACTTATGTTTTGATGCATCAGTGGGCCGAGAACTAGAGCCAATTTCTTCTATCGGTTTTTGATTCACAGTATGCCCTTTTTTGAACCAATATTGCTCTCTTACCAAATGAACTATTTATAGTACACCTCTTCAATTTTGTCTCCACTTTTAGGGCTAACTTATATGCGTCCTCAAGACTAAAAATTATAGCAAAATTAATTCATCTTGGATTTCCAATTTCACACCTCTTACATACCTTGCACCAATGTGATCACCACTGTTTTTTGTTTTTTTGAAACATTAACATTGTATTAAGGGAGAGAGTCTACAAAGTGCAAAAGATGGGCATCTCACAGACTGGGTGCTGTATAGAAATCCTCTCTTGGGGTTCTCAAATCATAAAACCAACAGTACTGATAGATACAAAATTAGGAACCATAAGCTCAAAAAAGTGCCAAAATGATTCCACAAGGATCTTTTGGAGTTGCTCCTGCTTTAGCGAGGTTGTTAGCCATAGTGTTTGCATCACGCCAAATATGCCTCCATAAGATTTGATTAGGCCTACAAATATGGAAGATCTCATAAAAAACATGTGCTAATCTCCAGGGACAAGCCGTGGACTGTGGGGCCCAATCGATAACGTTTTGGAGTCCTCCTCGATAAGCAAAACTGAACCCTAGGAAGAGTTGAAGTTTCTTAGGCACTCGAGAAGCAAAGGGCCTCTGCTATAGTGAAGTCAACATGACCAATAGATTTGGATTAGGAGAAGAGGATGGAGCCATTGTGGTCTCTAAAGGTTCCTCCAATCCTTGCCGGCCCTGGATTGCTGAGAGAGCAACCGTCAAATTGGATTTGCCAGATTTGGGTAGGGTCTTAAGAACAGTATGGCCTACCAATTTTAGTGACAATCTGTGTTAGCAAAGGGTCTGAAATAGTTGTGGTTTTTGGCCCAAAATATGACCATCTATTTTATGCGATCCTTCAAGGTGTTGGCTGAGGCCTTCTCTCCTCAAAAGATCTGGTTATTTCTCTCAGTCCAAATTATCCACCACGTGGTGGAGATTGAGGCTCACCAAAGCATGATTCCCGACTTTGGCCAGGGGAGGGTGTGGGACGGTCCTGGGGGTCATTCAATACCATTCGAACCATTGTAGTATGTCTCCCCAAGGGGCTCTTGCCATGTTGCAATAGATGAAGAGATGGGAATTGTTTCAGCCTCCACTATGCACGCGGCACATCTGTTGGGGATCAGCAGGCCCCTTTTTTGGAGTTGGTCCACTGTTAAGGCTCTTTCGATAGGGTTATCCAAAAGAAGATCTGGACTTTAGGGGGGATGAAGGAGAACCAAGTCTTGGTGTGAATGGAAGGTGGAGGCCAGGGAAGGTTGGTGGCATGAGGAGTTTGTGGTAGGACACAGTGACAGTACATGAGCTGTTAGGGGACCAAATGATTTGGTCCTCACTATCAGGGGGAAGGAAAACAGAGTGGGGAGGGAGGATAAGGAGATGAAATCGTCGATCTCATGGTCAGCGAGATATCTCCACAAGTCAAGGTTTCAAGGGCAAGAGGCACCCATTGGGTTCGGAGGGAGGAGAAACTGGTCAGTGAAGAGGTCCTTTAGAGGCTTGTTCCCAACCCAAAGGTTATGCTAGAAGTTAACCTTGTTGCTGGGCCCAATAATTGTGTGCTCTATATTGGACAAAGTATTCATATCCATGATGACTGTGAACTTTTTTTTTTTTTCAATAGTATGAATGTAATGATCAACAAACATCCAGACAGGCAAACTAAGAGTTAATAGTTACTTATTTTTATAAAATACTAAAGGAAAAATAGACAATGAGACCATTTATCTTTGGTACAAGGTGGTCACAATTAATATTGACCATTCGATGTGGAATTAGATCAAGCATATCTATGACAAATGTGGTTTCAATATTGGAAATCTTTGTGATAGCCTTAAAATATATTTTCATCTTTAAATATAAAATTTAAAGCTTCAAAAATAGTGTAGATCAAGCATATCTACGAAAGCTTCAAATTCGTGAAAATTGACAGTCCAAAAATGCGTTACAAGATGTACTATTTCCAAAACTTGAAATCCATTTTTTTCTCATGTCCATGCATCTTGATGGATGATCAATTTGAGGATATTTAGGCATCAAACTTGTAGTGAGATTTTTGAGGTGGGTTCTAATTTGATTGTTTAGAGCCTCGGCTCTATATAAACTTTTTCCTTTATTCTATTGATCAAGCGCAAACGTCAAATTTTTTTTTCTCGAACTTTGTGACACACCCAAGCTATTAGATTTCACATCAGATGGTTGTAAATAATTGTGACCTCCTTGTATCAAAAGTAAATGGTCTCATTGTATACAATCCCAATACTAAAAGTACATAGTACACATCCCCCATTTTTTTATTGAAAATTTTAAAACACAACTTTTAGGGATTTTAAATGATTTTTTGAAATTTTTTTGGGGCCGAACTGGCTGATTCACCGAACAGAATCGCCAATCCACCGATCCAACCTAGTTTTCGGGATGGCCGATCTGGGTCATCGATCCGTTTTTTTAAACCTTGATAGGAACTATTTATTAAGCTAATGGGTTGAAAGTCTTTGAGTTCCTCAAGCCCCTCAATTTTGGGAACCAGGGCAATGAATGTGGCATTCATGGCCCTATGGATGATAGCTCTATCATGGAATTCATCAAAATAGCATACAAGTTTGGCTGCAGCAAGTCTAAAAGTTTTGAATAGAGCCACCAGATAGCCATCAGGCCTGGGGCATGGGCTTGGCCAAGATCCTTGGTAGCATTGATTATCTCCTGTTAGGAGAAAGGGAGCTCGAGCTAAACTGCTTTTCCAGGTGGGATAGGTTGGCCATTCTAGAGTCTCGGCCCAAGAGGCGCCACAAAAAACTTTTTGAAGAAGTTGGTCCAGTTTCCGTTCTCAACTTTGGTTTGAATAATGTTTGAGCCATTTGATCCTGGAGCGCTAGGATTGATCATCACTCCTGTTGATCTCATTCCTACTCATCAAGAGATACAACTCACGAGTATCTTTTTTTCATACTCGATTCTTTTTGTTATAGATGGTGAAATCTTTTTTTTGGGTAAGTATAGATGGTGAAATCTTTGATACAGGCTCTATGCATAATCAGCAGGGATGAACTTCTCCTTCAAATATGGTTTCATCTTCCTCTAAGTCGTGATTTTCTATTTTTCTTTATGAGCCCTAATTGCTTGTAACTGTTGTGACGTGATTACAGAATAGCACTTCAACCAAGTAGCCACGAATTTTACCTTCTTTTCCTTTGGTTAATTCTTTCAATTCAAACTCAATGGCGAGCCAATCCAAGAAATCATCGAGTTGCAAACTACCTGAAAAATCAGGAACATTGACCTGATTGGCCTTATCTGAACCTTCCAGAGCTTGAACTAATTGATTTTCTAACGTGTGAGTTTTCTCTCCCCTGGTTAAAGAATGGGTTCACCTCCTCGACTTCAGATCTATCACTGTTATGAATGACAGAATCCCCTTGTTCAGAGCATATGGTGCACTCTACTCGAAATGCCTATTCCTTGACTATCCTCATCAAATTCTCAAAATCTTCATGTATTGGTATCACCATGTATTTCTCTAGCTGCCATCGAGCAAAATTACATAGAGACCACGGGTGGTTGCTTTAGGAGATATGACTTTTTTCTGATACGAGATGTTGCAAATTCGTACTAGAAACTCATGAAGATCTCTAAAAAAGAAATTGATGAGTTGGTTCAAAGTTAGAAGATAGCTAACAAGCCTATAGCTTCAATGGCTCTACAAAATTTGAATTGGAGGGAACAATAACACAAACTCAAATTTGAACCAAAACCCTAACTCCACTCCTATTTGTGGGCTTAATTGAGACCTCCTAATCCTTATTCTAAGCAATTAATACTTCTAATTAAAATTAGGCTTGATCTCGTCATTTTGGCCCTTGACTAAATAAATTCAGGCAAACTTGTCCTTAAAATAACTACGAAAGAGCCCTGGGATTTCGCATGGGAATAACCTTCAATATCGAAATCGCTATTGTGACCCCAATTCAGAAATGGTGTAAGCTCTATAATGAAATCCGCTATGTGGATTTTTTACCAAATTAGGCCGAAAATGCCTTCGGAGGCTTGAATGTCAGCCCTGAAGTTCGTTGCGTGTTGTTGGACTACAACACACACACGTATTTGAACATACACATAGGCACATGAATGCATACATATATGTCTTAGTTATCAGATCTCCTAAAAATGGTAGTTGTTCCACTCCATGAATGCGCTCCTGTGCTCCCAGACCCAGAGTCGGATTGTGGTGCAATTGTGTTGGGAGCACAATCCTAAGACAATAGGAGTTGTTCAATAGGTTAACACATCCTTATTCTTTGCATTTTTTAAAGATAAAAAAAAATATATGCATATCTAGTAAAAAAAAAGGAAGCAATAATTGCATATCTAAAAAAAGAAAATAATAAGGATTCATATTCATATTTTGTGGCTTCTCAAAGGAAAGGAGATTCTTAAATCTCCATCAATAATAACGAGAAAGTTTTAAATCGAATGCATCAAAAATTGCTTTATTGGGTCTAACTCTAACATTTATCAATGTTTATAAGAATTTGACATATCTCTTTAAAATGTGTACAAAAGAGAGAAGGATCTCTCTCTCTCTCTCTCTAAATTTATATGTATTTACTTGATCTACCTCAAGCATTATTATTATTATTTTTAATTAAAATGATATGTAGGGGGATAGGTTCCTTTATTATTATCAATGGAACCTAGGTGGCTTGTGTCTAGGCGCTACAGTCAAGGTGGCTGCGTAGGCACCACTTGATACTGACATTCATGCCATCTGTCTTGATGGATGTGTGAGCCACAACTGGGAAATACCAAGGCAATCTAATCCTGTAATAGAATGAACTTTAACTGATTTAATCCTGCAGTCATTTCGCTGCCAATCTGAGTAGTTTTCTCTATTTTTCCATCTTGAACTTCCATTTGTAAGAAATAGGGCCAATCATATGAGTATTTAGTTCCTAGTTGAAATCTCTCTTCCATTTAGAAAGGGATGTTGTTAACATCTCTTCCATTTAGATGTTGTTATGTGCCTTGGGAAATGCCTCGTTATGCCATTTCCATTCATGACAACGCTAACTCTTTTGGCAATAAAACCTTATGCCAATGGTTTCTTGTGTTGCAATTTTGTGTATTTTATTTTAAGCCTGTATGTTGTGAGCTTCCTTGGTGAAGTTTGGGGACAACTATAGTTGAGGACTGAGTTCTTCTTAGGCAATGAGTGATTCTAGGTTAACTCTATTTTCGTTGCCTGGATTCCATATTGGCTTCATGTTCTTGTATTACTTAAGTAGCAATTTTGAAATCCTTAAGCTTGAAAACTTTCTACTGTTTTCCTTTTCTTAATTTCTTGGATACTTATCAAAATAAGAGATTGATTATTTAACATTATAGCCATATCGTTTGATTTAATATCAGAATAATTATCTAAAGGCACATGTTTGGGACTAGGGATAGTTGGACAACGTGTAAAATGTTTAGTGCATCTCTTGTGGGCAGTTTTGATAGGTTTTCCCCCCTTATTTAATGGGGAAATCTCACCCATCCTGTTATTGAATGCAGAATGGGTTCGACACTACAAAGTGGCCCCAAATGGATGGTACTTGAGGAAAAACCAGCTTGAAAGTTGGAACGAAACTGATGAACTACTATTTGTTTTCTGCAACTACAGGTAATTAATTGGCATTCTTAGTCAATTTACCAAGCTTTTTGGTCCGTCCATATTTGAGGATGTCGAAACCCTGCTTTCTTTGTTCTTTTTTATTGAAGGCAGAGAACTGATGCACTTTGTTGCTTACCAAATAGAAATAGGGAAATCATACAAGTGGAGGATATTCTGTTCATTTCCAAAGAATCAGGAGTATTGTCACTGTTTTGAGAGGAAGTGTTTTCTATGAGCTTATACGAGGAATGTGGTGTTGTTCAGTTGTTCTTTCGCATGTTACATTTATTTATTTGGAAGAGTAGAGGCCCCTGGTTATTCCAGGTAGAGAATTGGCAACTGTACTTACTGAACTTATTGGCACGTGGGGATCCATGGGAAATATATATTTTTTCTTTTCCTCATGTATCAAACTCCTTTTTGTTATGTATATTACTAAATGACTTTCTTATATCCAATTATATATAAAACATGACATAGGTTTGTGCACATGCGGCGTGGCATCTACGGATCACTTCACGTTTCATTTGCTATTCGGTGTAAATAAGCATTATATATGTGTGTGCACGTGTGTGATGGTTTTGCTCTTATGTATTTTTTACTCAATAGATCCATATTTCAAAATTGAAATTGAAATTTTTTTACTTTTGAAAATACTTCTGTTTTTACAGGGATCAAAAAGATTTGAGATTGGAAGAGTACAGGCAAAATACGCTTTTTACGGAGAGTAGGCATTCTGCAAGGTACTGTGGGTGCAGGAGCGTATTGTCACAAATTCTCCCCTCCTTGGAAGGTGTAACTTCGTGTTGCGAAGCGTTGGACATATCACTATATTATATTAGGAAAAGTTTACAATAAGACCGTTTATCTTTGGTACAAATTGGTCACAATTAATCTTGACCATTGGATGTGAAATCAGATGGTTACATTTATTCTATTGACCAAGTTTAAATTTGAAAATAAATTTTTTCGAACTTTGTGTCACCCAAGCTATACGATTTTACATCGGATAGTTTGAACATGCAATGATTTAAGAAGTATATAATGTAAATATTTACTTTTGATACAAGGTAGCCACAATTAATCTTGACCATTGAATGCGAAATTGGGTGACTGTGTTTATTCCATTGATGAAGTTCAAACCTTAAAAGAAATTTTCTCAAACTTTGTGACAAACTCAAGTTATCAAATTTCACATCAAATGGTTCTAAGTAATTGTGGTCACCTTGTATCTAACGGTAAATGATCCTATATTTTAAACTTTGATGTTATGGATTCATAGATAACAAAATCTTACATTTATAGAATAAGGAATGATCACTAAGCATTCAATATCAGACCACCTATGATCTTGGACTCATAGATAACAAAATCTTACATTTATAGAATAAGGAATTATCACTAGGTATCCAATATCAAACCACCTATGATCTCGTGCGTGAAAAAGCTACTTGGTAGATTCTTTTGATCAAAATTTTGGGATCCACCTAAGAACCATAAGATGATTATTTTCAAAGAAAAAATTTGGATTTTGAGTTCAAAATTTTGATCTCACCCTCTAAAAATTAGACGGTTTTCGTACAATCTTTTGATGTTATTTTCTAGGCATATATGCAAAGTGAGTTTCTCTTTTTTTGGAAAAATTTACTTTTAACACAAAGAGGTTACAATCACTATCGTACTTTAAATTTTGAATTGGGTGGTTGTGAGCATGTCATTAACTCGACGCAAAGTTCAAACAAAATTTTCTTCAGTCTTCATGACACACCCAAAGCCCTCCAATTGGACATCTAATGTCAAGGAATAATTATGACCTCATTGTAAGAAAGATAATCAGTCTCATATTATATACCCCTTCCCCCCCTTTTTTTTTTTTCTCTTCCTAAGCTATTCTTTGCCTTTTTTTTTTTTCTCTTCCGAAGCTATTCTTTGCGTTGAAGAGGTTATATATATCTCTGGTTCCTGAAAGAAACCCATGAATTGGGTTTTCCTAAGAGAGCAAACAAGCAATATGCTCCCACAGGAGCACAAAGTCTTTTGGCTTTTCAAATTGCAACACATTTGCGTGCTCTTAAAGAAATGTCCTTAGTATCCTACTTCAAGTAGGCCCAATGTTCATTGTCTTTTTATCGATATGCCATTCACCTCGTTAGATTTCCCAAATGAGTTATGTCTCCACTTGTAGAGACCAATAATAACTCATACCATGCCCCAAAATCATCATCCCATTCCTCATCGAACTGTACAAGATCGGATCACTTGCAATTGAATCCTTCACCACCATCCCTTTGTATTCTGTGCCCAAAGCAACATTCTCTTCTTGATTGTTATTGGAACTCCATTTCTCACTTAAAGCCTACCTAACAAAGTACTTCATCATTCTTTCTCCATAATAATGTCTCCCATAAGAAGTGAGAAGACATTTTCCCCTTAAACATTGTACTATTTTGCTCTAAGAGGTCAGTTCAAGCCTCCTACATAGTGGATTCTTTGGCTCACTTGGGAGGATGGTCCTCGAGGAGCGGACCAGGGATGTGGCCGGGGCCCATCCAACATTCACAAATTAGATGCACCCGTTATGACTCATGGGTGGTTTAAGATTGGAAAGTGGCTAGGGTCACAAAAACGTATGATCACAAGCATTGGAGCTGATGAGGCTTATTTTTAGAGAGCGTTTTGAGTCATTTTTTGTTGAGGTTGGAGATATACTTGTGGGATGCTGGGAAGAAGACATACACTTGTCTGGGGGTTGGCGGCCTGTGAGGACGAGGGCCGAAAGCCTTGACACAACCGCCCCATGACATGTGTATATGACAGACATAATATGGGAAGGCACTCCCTCGTGTATTACTAAGGAGGGCATACATATGTGCCGAATAGAAGTCCCCTGCACCTTCTTGTTGTGGTGCACAGGCCTGAAAGGGCCATGATCCTGTCCTCGGGGGAGCACTTATCACAATGGTGTCCTAGTAACCTCATTGCTTTTGCTAGTTGGCTTTAATGGACTTTTCATGAACCTCTAAACTTGAGTTCTATCAGACAATTTGAGAACGGGCCGAGGGTTGCTAGGTAGTTTGTGTAGAGTTCCTGGGATCAATTTTCTAGCTCTAGGCACCTATTCCCCTTTAATGATTTTTACATGAGCATCATCATTGTTATCATCAATTTTTTAAGATTTTTAAAGAAAAATTTATGTAATGAAAAAAAAGACAAAAAAACAAACTATGAAAAAAAACTAAGGACACAATATATGTACCCAGGCACATATGACTCCCAAAGGGCCAATGGGCCTCACATGGGCATTGGAAGCCAAACCCCAAGTATAAGGGCCCACGTGTGATGACATCGCCATGGCCCATATCCTCAAGTAGTCACTTTCCCTTGATTGAAATTAATTGAATTAGTGATGCGCATTATGATTCCGTGGCATACATGTCCCCAAAAGATTTGAACTCATGGAAGTTAGATGAGGGAAGTTCCGTATTTTTACGTCACTCTTTATCTCTTTTAATGTGTGATCTCTCTTTAACTTATCCCATGGTCCAATTTTAAATTAAATAAAATTGTATTTGGAATTAAAGGGGTATTAGGTTTACAAACATGGGTGTGTTATCCAACCTTGATATACAAGCAGATAGCTAAGGAATAGATGGCTTGACTGTAATCTTGTCTTCACCACATAGATTACTAAGATTTATGACCCATGTTAAGAAGAAGAACATTCTAAACTTCTACTAAACTTTAATCCAACTCTCTTAATAGGAGCTATGGTCACCCTATTTTCACTACTTTTTAAAGTAATGTGCATAGTTTGATAGACTCTCAACTGTGGACCTCCATACCACCCTCCTCATTTTGCCCATATTTTCAGTTACCATTTGCTTGGTCCTCGGTCACCATTGAGTTGGTCCCCTTGAGCCCCTTGTATGCTTATTTACCTTGAGTTTGGAGCATTGTCCAGTCTCATTTTGTGGGAGAGTTTCAACCCATATCTCCCATATTTTCTTAGCCCATTGGTGAGTTCTTGAGTTGGTTTTGGTAGCTCTTACTGGTGCTTCTCACAATTTGAGCAACAGGGGCCACGATCCAAGTGCTACCAAAGGAAGTGATCTAGTTTCGGGTGTTGGGAAGTCCCATTGAGATAATCTTTGCGCATTCGCCTTATTTTTGGCTTTCCATGGCCCTATAGTCTTTTCAATTGTGTTTTTGTGTTAAAAAGAGTTCTGATTGTAAAAGCTGATTCTATGTAACACATATTATTAAAATCTAGTATTATTGACATGGTCTTGTATATTGCAATCTCTATAATTGGGCATTGTTTCAGCAGTAACTGAGTTTGTTTTGTGGCCTATGTTTTGTATTTCTTGTTGAATTGTTTGTAATTGGCGTGTAGACTCGTTAGAGTTTCCATACCAAAAGGAGCTACATCTAAAGCCATCAATCCCCATTTTTCTGTCCTACTTGCTTGAAATGGGGAAGAAAGAGTTTATTTTTTGCCCTTTAGGTTGTGCAGAAATATTAACATGAAAGCAGAGGTGGAGGAATGAGACTTACTCCTGCTAAGCTTGAGCATATCAATTGTCACTTCTTTGCTATTTCGAAGTAAGTGAGGACAACAGGTCTTCTATCCAAAATGGGCTTAAATTGAGTCTACTAGACCGGGTCTAGACCAGATTGGGACAGGACCGAGCCTAGGCAAAGGTTTCTTTGACTTGGTTCAGCCAATCTCAAGGCGGCCTTATAACGATCAGGGTTAGGCTAGTGCGAGAATATTATGAAATATATACAATGGGACCATTTATTTTTGATATAAGGAGGTCATAGTTATCATTGACCATTGGATGAAAAATTGGGTGCCTAAGGTGTGGCTTGTATAGAGCCTAGGCTCTAAACAATCAGATTAGATCCTACCTTCAATTAATGTCGAACAATGCGGTTTCAATACTGGAAATATTTGTGATAGCCTTAAAATATATTTTCATATTTATTTATAAAGTTTAAAGCTTAAAAAATAGTGTAGATCGACAGATCTATGAAAACTTGAAAATCTTGTAAACTCACGGTCCTAAAATACGTTACAAAATACACTATTTCAAGTTTCCAAAACTTGAAATCCATTTTTGTTTTCATGTCCATGTATCTTGATGTTGAGATGATGATATTTGAGCAACAAAACAACCTCTTCTAGTGAAATTATTGAGGTAGGCTCAAAATTTGATTGTTTTGAACCTCGGCTCTATATAAACTCTTCCCGATTATGAACTGTGTCCATATTCACCAGAGAGTGGATTAGGCCATGGCTAACAAAAGTCAGATTTACCAATAAACAAAATGCATAATTTAAAATATGGTACAATACAAATCACAACAGATCTTTTTTGTGGGATAAATAATCTATTTTATTAGTTTTACACTGGATGATTAATGTGGCATTGGGCCAGGCATCCTGGCCTGGCCCCGTCAGCTCGGCCCTAGAAAACAAGGGAGTGGCCCACGAGGGCAGGGCTAGGACAAGCCATCATGGCCTGGCCCGAGGGCAAGGCTGGGTTGTGCTTAGAAAAGGTTCACGATAGTGCCAACCCGGTCTAGACCGTGCGGCCCATTTTTCCTTATTCTGTTTTATTTTTATGTCTTGGATCATATATTGCCCGACCCAGCGTACACATGACTAGGGCCAAGGCCAGGGCAAGGGCAAGGGCTGCTTTAGCCCAGTCAATGCCGGGTCGGGTTGCCGGCCATGTAGAGACCTCGACCAACGTTGGCCCGACCCATTGCAAGGACAATTGACTTTAAGTTCTCATTCATTGAACACAATATCTACCTACTAATAATGAATAGTTGAGTGAATGATTATGTTAATTTTAATATTATCATGTGTAATCAAATAAAGGATACTCAAAATATAGAGATAATTCAAACAGGTTACCCAACAAGAGATTAACTATTGGTTTCTATTTCCTATGTCCTAAATTTCCATACTTTGACTAATGGGATGGTTTCCATTCTATGAGATAATAAAATAGGAATTTGAAATTCTGCAACGGCTCTCGGAATCAGGAACATTCAAATCTAGTGATTAATGAATAATTAAATGATAATGATTCATTCACGCATGGTTTTGGTTATCACGCTTTTAAAAAGCCCAAGGCCCGTGAAAAGACGCAAGAGGGAGGCTGCAAGACAGAACAGCGGAAACCTCTCCTCGTAATGGCCTCATCTTTTCATCATTCCCATCAAACTTTCTCTCTCTAATTCTCAGCACTCTCTCTCTCACCGTCTTCTTCCTCCGTTTCATCATTCCCATTAACCCACTTTATCTCTCTCTCTGCAACTTCCTCCTCCTCTCTCTCGTACGTCATTCTCTCTATGTTTCCAAATTCCAGTTCTCTTTTTGATATCGGATGAAGCCTGATGGTTTATCAAATGACGGCCATGTATATGTTATGAATTTGGAGTTCAAATTAAGGCCACCCATCAAGCTTTCAAGAGGCAAATGTGTTGTGAAGCAGAGTTTTCTCTTTTCTGTGATTTTTTTCTTGGGTTTTACATTGATTCATGGCTACTCTGAAAGAGTTGCAGCAGTGGTTGCCATTCCTTTGGGTTCTCAGCTTTATGGTAATGGAAATAGCTCTTGGGCCTCTGAAAATGGCGTTTTTGAATTTGGGTTTTTCTCAGATTCTCAGAGCAATGGCCTTGTCGTTGGTATTTGGTATAACATGATACCAATAAGTGGAAAAATGCTTGTTTGGAGTGTTGGGGGTGGAACTAGGGTTTCTGAGAACTCCATTATCAGGCTTTCCATGGATGGAAACCTTGTGCTTTTGGATAATACCGATGGCTTTCTCGTCTGGAGCAGTAATACCAGTGGTCTGGGAGTCAAATTTGCAGGTTTGATGAATAATGGAGACCTGGTTCTCACTGGTTCAGGGCGAGAAATAGTATGGGAAAGCTTCCAAAGCCCCACTGATACTCTTTTACCAGGGCAGTCCCTCGAGTTTCATCAAACACTTCGTGCTGCTATGAAAAACTCCATTGCTAGCTACTACACCCTCAAGTTTCAGAGCACTGGTAATCTTGGGCTTTCATGGGAAAACAATGTGACTTACTGGAGTAGCAATTTGCAGGCACCTGTTGCTTCTATAGGGGCAAAATTTGGGTTTGATGGAGTTTTTCAACTGTTGGATTCCTCTAGAGAGGTTGTCTGGGCCAGAATGAGTAAGGATTTCAGAGAACCATTGGTGAAATTCAGGTTTTTGCGGCTCGACATTGATGGAAACCTGAGAATTTACTCTTGGGAAGGGAATTCCCTTCAATGGAAGGTGGGATGGCAGGCCGTTGAGGACCAATGCCATGTCTTTGGCTTCTGTGGCTTATATGGAGTTTGCAGCTATAACAATAGTCGGCCTATCTGTACCTGCCCTTTCGAGGATTCAAATATTTGGGGTATAGTTTCAGGTGTTGATGCTGGTAGTGGGTGTCGGAAAATGGTGGATTTGAGCCGCTGCAGAGAGGGGAAAGGCATGGTTGTTCTTAAACAGACTATGCTTTATGGGCTTTATCCCCCCCATGACATAGAAACCATGGCCAGCTCAGAATCTTGCAAAGAGAAGTGTTTGAGTGACTCTTCTTGCTTTGCTGCAACTTCCAAGAACGATGGTTCTGGTCTCTGCACCATCAAGAGGACTAGTTTTATCAGTGGATATCGGTACTCCTCTGTTACTGCTACTTCTTTTGTAAAAGTATGTCTGGTTCCTCAAGCTGTTTCTTCTCAGGAGGCCATGACCCATCATCCTTCTAAGCCATTATTGGCCCCAGAACAACAACTGCAAGAACCAATGTCCCATTTAAGGAACCAAAAGAATTTCCTTATCTCCGTGGCAGAGCTGGTTTTAGTGACTGTGTGTGTATTTCTTGTCATAGAGATGCTGGTATTTTGGTTTCTCTATCGCATAAGAGCAATTAAAGTACAGAAAAGAATTCCCTTTCAGAAGGTTGAGCTTGGAGACTCAGGCTACAGTGCTCCTATTGGGCTTTCTTTCGATGAATTGAAAGAGCTGACAAGTAATTTTGCAATACAGCTTGGCCCAACAGTTTACAAGGGAGTCCTCCCAAACCAGAGGCCGATTATTGTTAAAGTGTTAGAGACAGTAGCATTACCTGAAAAAGATTTCAGAATGGCAGTCTCTATCTTGTGTAGCACACACCATAGAAATCTGGTCCCTGTAAAAGGTTTCTGTTTTGAGCCAAGACACCAGCTTGTCCTTTACGAATATGTAGAAAATGGGTCTCTGGATCAATGGCTTTTTGACAAAGAGAAAACCCAGAATAGCCTCACATGGCAACAGAGAATCGACATTGCCATTGGTATAGCTAGAGCGATCTCTTACCTTCACCTAGAGTGTAAAGAGTGCATTGCCCATGGCAATTTGAAGCTTGAGAACGTGTTACTAGATGTGCAATTAGTTGCAAGAGTCACAGATTTTGGGATCAAAAGTTTGTTGAATAAGGAACATGCTTTTGTGTCGGAAAGCCTGCCAGAGAGAGATGTTTACATGTTTGGTGGTATGCTTCTGCAAATTATCACAGGAAAGAGAGGACCTATTGGAATGGAATTTTACTCATCAATATTGGAAATGTATCGAAATGGAGAGTTAGATAAATTGATGGATGTAAGAATGGAAGGGACTGTAGACTGGGAAGAGGTAGAGAGAGCTATAAGCATAGCCTTTTGGTGTCTGCATCATCAACCTTTCCTAAGGCCTTCAATTAGTGAAGTGGTTAAGGTCTTAGAAGGGACCTTTTCAGTGGATTCACCTCCTTCCCCCTGTTCTCTTGTCAAGGTGGAGGATGAGCATATGAAGATTGGAGATTCTGATACTGTTGAGGAGGTAACTTTTCTATCATTGCCTTAGCTTGGCGGCTTGGGCCCTTGGATACTGAGTGGTGCATGCTAATAACTGAAATTTATGGATGGATTTGACCTGTTGATTCTGTCTATAAAGTTCAGAAATGCCTATACTCTATTTGTTTTTGAATGAATTATGAAACAGAGAGCCAGTGATTAGCTTTATCACTCATTAGCATCAAATTCAAACAGAGAGCAAGTGGTTAGCTTTATCACTCATCAGCATCAAATTCCTCCGTATACCATGCTTTTGATCGTATTGACATGTTTGAGAAAATTTAACTAGGGTTGCTTGCCATTGAAGCACTGCCCATGTGTCGTTTGAATTATTAAAGAGAACAAAATGTATGAGAACTTTGTTAAATTCATCAGATGTTACTTCAGATTTACCCAAAAAAAAAGATGTCACTTCATGATAGTTTTCATTTTTTACTCATCCAGGAGTTTATCATCTTATGTCCTCACATCTAATACATCTAGACACACACCCACCCACGTGTGCACATAAACGTACACCAATGGCACATCCATACATTATATGTTCAATTTTATCTGATATCTTCTTTTTATTGGTAATATAAAATGTCAATTAACATTGTTCAGTATAAAAAGTCTATCTCGTTTAAACTGATAATCAAGTTTGGAGCAATGTTACTAGGATGGGTCGGTATGCTTCTAACTTAGATGTTAGGTGTGTCCGGAAGCTAAACTGCATCTTACCCAAACCTGAAAACTTTATTCATGGTTTTTGACTTTCTGAAGAACCAATGCTGGACTTTGGGCTTTCAGGCCCAGTACTTGCTGCTGCAACCTCCATTAAAACCAGGTGAATTAATTGGGGCAATTGAGATAATTGACGGACATAGTACTGCATTGGGTGTTGAGATGCAATGACTTTGGCAAGAGCAAGAGCAGTATGTAAGTAGTCCAAGGTTTTGTAAAAAGCCCTTAGGGACCCAGCCTGGGTAATGCTTTCCAAATTTGAAACATCTGAACCCAATGAAAGAACGAAATTGAGCAGACAAAGCAGTTCAGAGAGCTGCTGATGAGAATGAGTTAGAAAACTCATTGAAGTCTGGTAATAACTTGGCTATCGCACTATTCAAAAAACTAGCCTGTCATGAGTAAATATAAAGCCATAAAAGAATAGGCATTAGTGGTATAGAGAAGAGCTTGTGGGCAACTGAAATCCATGTGAAATCTGTACAGCCTTACCTAACTCACAGATCTGTTTTGAGGGGACAATAGGATTTGGTAAACAACATCCAGTGTTTAGAAACTCGTTGAAACTGAGTCAGACTCATCCATATCAATCATAACTGACACACTGCCTGTTATGGATGATCGAGTTTGTGTGTTGACTGAGTCTGTCCGGATCTTTTAAAAGCCAATGACTATGTTCCGAGTCTCGATTAAGTTTTTGACAAGTTATATCGGGACTCAATGAGCTGACTTGGACCCACCATCTGCCCCAGTACCATTCTTTTAAAAGCACTGTAGAACCTTGGATTGATTTTGGCCTTTAATCTCAATGCTTAAGTGGAAATTACCGGAAATCGGTCCATAATTTTGGGATTTGGCAAAAGCACGTTGCCAGTTCTCTGACCTGTATGATATACTGCTCATTCAATTTTCAAAGCTTTATCCACATTAGTATCCATATAGTTAACCTAAATTTTTTTCTTCATTCTTTTGGGCCTAAACTTGTGCGCTCTTTTACATATTTTGCCTCGTTGTTACCATTATAATTTTCGAAGGGTGTTTGGTGGAGGCAATGTTATTTGCATTTGAATAGAACAGTGATCCCCAAAATTTTGAGATAAACCGAGTGAAACATGCTACACATAATAGTATAAGAATACATTTCAAGAAATTTATAGAAAGAAGAAATTGATTCCACTGTACACATTCCTTGTTGCCACCATCCACTCATTAAGTTGGACCCGACATAAACCTTATTTCCTCGAAAGGCCAAAACTATTTGCAGGGGCTTTTGCTAAAAAGGGAGTTTGTATTTGCGAGAAGTGTTTACTAGTTTGAGAAAGATCATTCTTGAAGGGGCAGATTTGTTTACTCACAAGTTTGATAATCTATGTAATGTTTTGGATTTTATACTATAAGATCACATACACTTGTATAAGATGACCACAATCACTATTAGTTGTCAGATGTGAAATCTGACAAGTTTGAGGTTTGTTATAAAGTTCAAGAAAAATTTCTATGGACTTTGAACCAAGTCAATGGAAGTGAATGGTCTTATCCATCCGTGTTCTTAATAGCAAATGGAGATTTGTCTTACCCCAAATTACTTGCAGTTTTACCAAAAAAAATAAAAAACTAATATATGCATATACTTCTTTTGCAATATCAAGAAACCCCTACCATCATTTTCTCTATAAACCTCATGTTTTTCTTAAGTATTTTTGGACAAAAGTACCCCTCTCAAATTATATATAAAAACAGAAAAATCTGAAAAAGAGAAAAAAAACTCTATAAATATCAACATTCTTTCTGTTGAATGTTGTGTGACACCTTGAATAGATTAAACTACCACTCCCTAAGGACGACAAATGGGTATACAATGAAGAGTGAAACTTGTTGGTGAATCCATGGACCGGTTGAAAGAGATGTTGAAACCTGTTTAGAGAGTCTAAAGAAATGTTGACTTGAGAGAGATAATGGAAAGGAGTTCTGCAAAACAAAGACTTAGCAAGAGCATGAGGAAAGGGCTAGATCAAATAAGGTATTTATAATTGGAAAAGTATAAAAAGAGACCTTTTGCTTTTAATACAAGAAGGTCACATGACACTTTTGTCCATGGGATTTCAAATTGGGTGGTTGTGAGTGTGTCATTGGCTAGACTCAAAGTTCAAAAGAAAAAATCTTGAACTTTGTGTCACATCGCAAGCCATCTAGTTTGACATCTAATGACTAGTAGCAATTGTGACCTGCTTGTAACAAAAATAAGTGGTCTCATAGTTTATAATCCAAAGGTTTTCGATTCTAGTTTAGATTATATAGCAAACCAGTTGTAAACTACTTGTAAAGCTTACAAATTTGTAGAGAGAGACAATATGATAAAGTTGGAGTCCAGAGCTCTAGATTTAACAGTGAACCAAATAAAGACACAGTGAACCAAATAAAGACGTATGAGAAAAAGTCTACAAAAGATTTGGAAAAGAAACCATGCTCCAAAATTAGATGTGTTGTTTGCCTATTTCAGGGTCCTGAGTTTGAAGTAGGAAAAATTGGGCGGTTCAAATTCTAACCCGTTAAGTGGTTGGTTCCGATTTCGACCGGTAATGGTGAATCAACCGGGTATTTTAAAAAGAATTAAAAAAATATTATAAAATCTCAAAAAAATAAGGGATTTGGGAATTTGTTTGTAATGCAGTTTTTAATGTTTATCATCATTTTGGCAAATATTGGAAATTGTTTTGGCCATTAGCACTTATTTTTACATTTTCTTGTCTTTTTTAGAAAATTTCAAAAATACTCCTAGGCACAAATCGATTCCTTAAAATCCAATTTTTTTCATTAACTTTCAACTTCATTTGGATGTGTTTTGTTTAGTCATGCTTTAAATATATTTTTTTATATATTTATTATATTTTATATATATATTTTTTAATTTTTTGAGACTTTTTTGACCAACCGGGACTTGATTGGTTGGGTCAGTTGAATTGGCCGGTTTACGGCTAGGCTGGTTGAACCGCTTCCGGCCCCCATGTCCGGTTAACTGTTCTGGTTCGATTTTTCCCACACTGGTTTGGAGACCTCAAAGAGACGATGGCTAGGTAACAAAAAAGACACAAAATTGGTAAGGCAAAACCAGTGAGGAGATAGAGAAAAGGCGCTGAATATGATGAAGTGGTAAGAGGTACTTAACAAGGGGTGTAACGGGAGAGAGAGTAGAGAGAGGAAGATGCAACCATCCTAACAAAATCTTATTGAACACATCCAAATTCAACCTTTACCAATTGAGTCATCCTTGGGGAGTGCTAGTTCGAATTTATCTAGGTCGTCACAGCATTGAGGGAGAGAGACTATAAAATATTTTCTTGTTTGAGATTGTTCTGTTTTTATTTTATAAATAAAAACAGTTTATATAAGGTTGCAACCTTATATCATTGAAGTAAGGCACACCTCAAATGTCCTTTAGAAGAAGGGTTTTACTTGACATTTGTTTTTGAACGTTAACACTAAATTTCATTAGACATTGGAGCAGAGCTCCTAAGTTACAATAGTACAAGACAGAAATAGAGAGAAGTACTCTCTAGATCCAAAACTGACCTATCCTACCTCCCGAAACACAACAAACCCTGAAACCTTGTCAATCCCTGTCCACAAATTACCTAGGAAACCCAACTAATGCACACAGAACAACTTACAAAAGCCTCATTATATCAAAGCATCACTTCCCTACACCAGCTTCCCAATAAATAGCCCCGGTGAGCACCTACATTCTCCTCATTGACCAACATCCTGCACCAGTCTAATGGAACTCATAAAACTCTTGATCAATGCTTGGTGGCGCAGCTGTGGGTGTCGGCACGCGATGGCGACCTAACAATGGGGCAAAAGATGGGCAAGAGGGAAGAGTGTAGGAAAGGAGGCCAGAGAGGATAAAGGCAGGCGGTAGAACATGGGTGGACCGGGAAGGAACAAGGAGAATAGGTGAGGAAAGTCGAAGTCATTTCCCCAAAACTGTACTTGGCGCCACAAAATAAAGAAATTGGAACCCGAAAGAGAAACTCCAACCTCTGCGACCGGGTTCCCATTAAACTAACCCCATCTTAGATGCCTTATAGTTTTCCATACATGGATGTTTCGGTCCTCTGCTGAAAACTCCAGAGGTCTCAGGAAAACCGACGGCAGGGGACCGAAACCCAAAGGGGCACCCCATCTTAGGCATTAATTCCTTTTATTTGTTTGTAATTTTTCGGCCTTGTTAAGACTAATGTTAGCAAATAAATTGATGGCTGAGATCCTCAAGACAGAAAATTTTGACAGCACAAACAATCGTTCCTTAAAAGAGAAAAGACTAACCATGTCCACAAAAAACTCATCTTTACATTCCCACATCCCATGGAGCCTCGTACGTATGCATCTCAGACCACAAGAGATAACTTTGGTCAGTGTGAGAGGGACAATATCTCTACAAAGCACTTATGCTTGCATCAATGACATATTCACACTCACTAGAGCATGAAATGATTCTCACTACAAGCGAGATTCATGAGAAATTCGACAAAGATTTGGCATGCGATCGAAAGATGCAAGAAGGGACAAAGATGGCAGATGATGCAAATTGGAACAACAAACAAATAAGACTAAAAGCAGCTCTGTTAATTTGATGGAAAGAGAATAAAGGGGAA